GGGGCAGAGGGGGTGTATGGGGGAAACTGCAAGATTAAAGGAGCTGCTGCACAGCCCCGCTTCAGCCGGTAGGTCCCTAGACATGATGGATACTTCCTCATCAAATATCTGAAACGGATGAATAGCTTGACAAGGAGCAGTAGAATTCAGGACATACATTTTCAGCTGTGAGTCTAGGGTATTATAAAGCTGGTTTGAAGGGATGGCTGCAGATGCAACACAAAGCCTGAAATTTTATTGGTATGGAAATAAATGTGCTGGTTGGAATCAGTGACACTTATTTAATTGAACAAACCAGTCTCTTCCAAGATGATATTTGACATTTTCCGTTTTTAATTACAAGTAACCTTCAGCTGTTATTTCTTTAAGATCACTTTCTGAAAGGAAAATCTATAGGCTTTCCATGCTCTGCTGGGAATAGACAAGACTTACAAAGATTTATAAAGGCTGTGCTCAGCTGACTTTCAGGGTGTTTAAATGGCCCCACACTTACAGTGGCATTACAAGTGCCAGTGCTAATGTAGCCCTAGTACCACTGCAGCAGAGATGCCCCTGAAATTGACTGAAAAGTACCAGGCTGACCACCCCATCGATCACGGCAGCCCAAGGTAGTAACAACTTTTGCTGGGGTTGCAGACTTGCACAAGACTTCTATAGAGTCTACTTTGAAAATGGTGTTTGGTAACTGCACACCTACCACAAAGAGAGGAGTTGGTGACACATGAATCCACACAGTGTAACTTGATCATCTTGTATGACATTTCAATATCCTTTTGTATTTTGCAGAGGCAGCACATCATGCTGTCAGGCAGTACACTGCAGACAAAAAAAAATATTGAACACAATATCCACCATTCCATGCTTTGCATTTTACTACATATTGTGTAAGTACAAAAGAGCCCCGAACAATACATTTTTCTTTGCATTTGAATGGAACCGCCTGAATACTTTTTTCCACAGTAACATTTTGAATGACATGTTCTTGCCCAGATGCCTGTTAAAATTGTGTGAATCTTCTGTGTGAAAATTTAAAACAAAGCAACATTTTCTTATTGAATAATCTTTAAATTTTTGTTTTATTTCTGAAAACTGAGCTGAACCAACCCCCCTCCCTGCAATTTGGAGGAAAAAAAAAAAAAAAGGAACATCTTTATTTGGTTTGGAAATTTCTAAGGAAAAAACTGAAACATCTCATTAGAAACAACATTTCTGACCATTTTTTCAGTGCACAATTTATTGTTTAAATTTTTTATCATCTCTTGCATTTTCTTCTTATATCTTTATAATTATTATTATTTAGTATGGTAGTATCTAGGATCTCTAGGCCCAGACGAAGAACTCCATTATTCTTGGTTCAATATAAACAGAGAACTAGAAAAAGAGCCTAAGTGATCTAAATATGCGTTTCCTTATAAATCTGATAGCAAAGGACAAAAATATTAAGCTGGTTGCCTTTTTATTTTTAATGATATATAAATAATACCTAATGACTTTGCTAAAAAAATTAAGGAAGGTTATTTATGCAAGTAACTTTTCTGTTTTGAATATACTGACTGTAATCCCAGGATTTTGCATGGTACCTTCGTATTGCTTGATTATTAGATACAAACCAATCTGGCTCTACGTTCAAGACTCATACAAATATGTTATGGAATTAGAGTATTTAAAAACAAAACCCTATGGGGCTTGAGTATGGATAAATCATCAGAGAGGTGTACTAGATACAAATGGGGAAAAAACGTGTTCTGTGTTTCAAGTTTATAGTGTTTCCAAGGCAAAGAAAACAAGGTGACAGACTGGCATCTTGATGGGGCAGAGTTAAGGTAGTTTAGTGGTTTTAAGTGTACTATTTGATAGTTGATAGTTATTGTTGTTATGGGCTGAAAGGGACCTTACAGATCATCAGGTCCAACCCCCCTGCACTTGGACAGGAAAGACTGCTGTGATCAGATGACCCCAGCAAGATGGGCGTCAAGACGCTTTTTGAAGATCACCAGGGTGTATGACTGTACTACCTCTGGGGGGAGCCTGTTCTAAACCCTCGACACTTGACTTGCAAATAAGTTTTTCCTTATGGATAGCCTGAAGCAATCCTCAATCAGCTTGTTCCCATTATTTCTTGTCCTCCCTGGTGGGCCTTGGTGAATAGATGCTCCCCCAGGCCCTGATGTATGCCTTTGATATACTCATAGGCTGCCTCCAAGTCCCCTCTGAATCTTCTCTTCTCCAGACTGAACAGTCCCAAGTTTTTTAGCCTCTCCTTGTATGACCTGGTCTCTAGGCTTCTAATCACGTGTGTGGCCCTCCTTTGGACTCTCTCGAGCTTCTTCACATCCTGAAGTGCAGCACCCAGAACTGGATGCAGTACTCCAGCTGCAGTCTCACCAGGGCTGAGTAGAGAGGGAGGATGACACCCTTAGCCTTGCTTGAGATGCCTTGGTAGATGCATGCCAGTGTTTGATGAGCTCTGCCAGTTACAGCATTGCATTGGTGGCTCATGTTCATTGTGTTGTTTATTGTGACACCCAGGTCTCGTTCATATGCGGTGCTAGCAAGCGTAGTGCTGCTGAGCCTCTAAGTATGTTGTAAATTACTTCTCCCCAGATGGAGCAATTCACATTTCTCCATATTAAACAGCATCTGGGTTGAGGTCTGCCCACCTCAAAAGACTGTCCAGGTTGGCCTGTATTGCCAGTCTGTCTTTGAGTGTGACCACACTCCCCCATAGTTTTGGTGTCATCAGAGAACTTTGCTAGTTCACTTTTAATGCCCAAATGCAAATTGTTGATGAACGTGTTGAAAAGCACTGATCTGAGTACAGAACCCTGAGGGATGCCACTGGTCATCCTCTGCCATGATGACTTGGTTCCATCAATCAATACTCTCTGAGTCTTACCACGGAGCCAGTTACCTAGCCACTGGACTGTAAAGTAGTCGAGGCCACATTTTCCCAATTTTTTTCATGAGGACTTTGTGTGAGATCAGGTCAAAGGCCTTTTTGAAGTCCAGGTATATGACATCAACTTCATATCCCCCATCCAGGTGGCAAGTAATCTGATCACAGAAGGAAATGAGGTTGGTCTGGCATGGCCTGCCTGTAATGAAGCCATGTTGGCTATCTGTCAGATACTGCCTTCTGCTAGCCTGTCTGTAATGGATTCTTTGATAATTTTCTCCAGGATTTTATCAGGGATTGAGGTCAAACTGACTGCTCTGTAATTCCCCAGGTCCTCCTTTCTCTCTTAAAGATAGGCACCACATTGGCCTTCTTCCAATCTTCTGGGACCTCTCCCAAGCGCCACGAGTCTTCAAATAACTTTGCCATTGGTTGCGCAATGACTTTGGCCATTTCTTTTAGCACCCTTGGGTGTAGTTCATCTGGTCCTGCTGACTTGTAGATATTTAGCCTTTGTAGGTGCTCCCCCACAACATCTACACCACCTATGGGGGGGTGGTCACCCCCACCATGATCATCCTGTATCATATCAAGCAGGCTAACACCCTTGGACTGATGGAATACAAATGTGAAGTATTCACTAAGGAGTTCAGTTTTGTCCTGAGTGTCAGTTATCAGCCATCCCATTTCATTCATCAGGGGTCCTATGCTTCCCTTATTTTTCTCCAAGTTCCTACATATCTAAAGAAGGACTTTTTGTTGTCTTTGATTCTGGTTGCTAATCTGTATTTTATTTGTGCTTTTGCTGTCCTGACCTGCTCCCTACGGGTGCAGGCTGTTGCCGAGTACTCCTCTTTGGTAGGTATTCTTGACTTCCATCCTTTGTAGGCTTCTTGTTTAAATTTCAGGACATCCACAACTTCCCTGTTGAGCCAAGGGGGTCTCCCAGCCCTTTTGCTGCCTCTCTTACAAAAGGGAATGGAATTTCTTTGAGCTTTTAGGATTGATTCTTCGAGGAACGATCACTCTTCTTGTAGCCCCTTCCTCATTGGACTATGGTCCCACCATCTCAACTACCAATCCCCTAAGCTTGTGGAAGTCAACTTTCCTAAAATCAAGGATTTCTACTTTACAGACTTATGGTGGATGGAGAAAGAGATCATCTCATGGTTACTGTCGTCCAGTTTCCCTTCAATTCTCAGGCTGCTCACTAGATCGTCTCCTTTGGCCAGAACCAAGTCTAGGAGTGTCTTGCCCCTGGTTGGCCCATAGACTTCTTGTGTTAGATAGAGTAGGGTTTCTCAACTGGTGGGATGGACTTGGGTCGCAGCGGCAAAACTGGAAGTGCCACGGTGGGACTTCCGATTTTGCTTTTGCACACTTCAATTGGCCACTGGGGAGCCCCCCCTGCTCTTTGACTGACCTCTGGGCCCCCCCGCTCATTGATCGGTGAGTGCTCATCTATCTGAGTGCTCATCCCATAAGATGTCTGGGTAGTTGAAGTCACCCATGATGACCATGCTCCGAGAGTGTGCAGCCTCTGCCAGTTCTCCAGAGGATTCCTGGTCGAGCTGTTCCTCTTGGTTTGGAGATCTGTAATAAACTCTTATGGTCAAATCTTCTTCCCCATGCGCTCCCTGTATCTTGCCGCATAGAGTCTCAAGTTGCCCTTCTTTGTTTCCAATCTTTGCTTTTAGGGAGGTGTAATGTTCCTTCACATAGAGAGTAACTCCACTGCCCTTCTTCCCAACACGATCCCTCCTATACAGGATATACAGGGTGTATCCTCCTATGCCTGTGGGACAGTCATAGGCGGAGTGCTATTGGAGTCTTATAAATTCGTACTTCAAAGTCCTGGGGGACCTTACTTTTTTCAGCTCATGTACTTGAAAGATAAAAGGTACTCACACTGGACACACATGATTACAAACTTAAATTCAGTTTACCAAAGATTTGGTGTGGGAATAGCTAGATAGATAAAGAAAGTCTCTGCCTACCAAGGAAGGCTCTGTGGCAATGGTGCTCAGCATTTTGGCCCTGTGGGCTGGAGGAGTGGTATGAGGCCAGTCAGCAGGCTGGATTGGTCTCCACATGCCAGGATTGGGTCTCATGCTGCCTCTGCCAGCCCTCACCCATCTCTCTGCTGTCATGCAGCATGCATGGCAGTTCTTGGGGCTTCCACAGGTCTGGAAATTTGGCAGCAGGGGAGAGGTGCCAGTGCTCCCTCACTGCCAAGTTTTCTGACCCAGGGAGATCCTTGCAAGCCAGATGTCATGACTTTGGGGGTGGATCTGGACCCTGGGCTGTAGGTTGAACACTCCTACTCTATGGGGATAGGAGAGCTAATAATGTCATGTCATCATAAGACACAGGAAAATGAAAGTGAAGCAATTGTGAAGGAAAGGGATTTTTAGTAAAGCTGTTTAAAACTCTTTCAGTCTGTTTCACCAATCTCTTTCTCAATTTTTATGCCAGTGAAGCTCTCCTGAAGTCAATGGATTTGCACTACATACTCTTTTACATGCTGTGAATGTTAGGCCTGTGCAAAGCGGCTAGTATTTGTTTTAGATTCGGCTGATTTGAGGGACAGTGATTTGATTCGGTGATTCGAATCACTGTCCTGATTCGATTCAGTCGAATTTGATTCGGAAATTTGGTACCAGCCGAATCCCTGAATCAGCCAGGCCAGGCTCCCCTGCCCCCTCCTCCCCTGTCCCAGCCCAGCAATGGCAGCCCTGCCTGCCCCAGCTCCTAGCACTTGGGGGAAAAAAAGCAC